ATGAATTTTGCCACAATTAAAAATACATACATACAATGAGTCCAATTAAACCTCTCCTCCTTTAAAAAATACATACATAAAGTATGGAAAATAAGTGTTATCACTGCAACAAATGAAAACAAGAAGTGGGGGAACATTTCAAAACTTGTTTCCAGCTGGGCATGATGGCGCACACCTGCAATCCCAGCACTCAGGAGACTGATGCAGGAGGGTCATTATAAGTTCGAGGTCAGTTTGGGCTACTGTATCTCAAAAAGGCAAACCAAACAAGCAAAAAAACAAAAAAACAAAACTCATTTCCATCCTTTAAAAAAAAATCACCAAAGATCATCCTGAATAAAACAACTATTTATTTATGGAGACGGCAGAGTGTTTTAATGTTTTAGACTTAATGTTGCCACTTGAATACAAATTCAATGCACTTCTCACTCAGCCAGTAGGGGGCGCCTCCACATGCCTCCTTGGCTGCTCCTTTGTCCAGTAACCTATCACCTCTGGGTCCATCCTCACAAAAGTAACCAAAAGAGGGCCCCTCTACGGGTGGGAGGTGGTAACAGAACAGCGTATAGGGAAAAGGGAAAAGAGCTTACCTCTCTCTTTTTCTTGGATTTGATATCATCAGCACTGTTCGAGAAATTGGATTTCCTCTTGTTACCTTCTGACTTCTCCCTGGGTTTATTATTTTCACCCTCCTTCATCTTCTTATACTTTTTCATAAACTCAGAAATTAGTTCAGGGCAATCCAAGTTTTTCTCTGGTTCCCACGTATTATGCTCCCTGAGCAAGAAGAATGCAAAGAAAAAGGTAAATGGTGACAGGGCTAAAAAATTCAATGTCTTATTTTAATAAACAGCACATGTAGACAAAAAGAAGATAAATCCTATGTTTAAAGCATATAGGCTAAGCCGAGCGTGGTGGTACACGCCTGTAATCCCAGCACTCAGGAGGCTGAGGCAAGAGGATCGTTGCGAGTTTAAGGCCAGCCTGGGCTACAAAGTGAGCTCAAGTTCAGCCTAAACTGCATAGCGAGACCCTGTCTCAGAAAGACAAAAAGACCCATATAGGCTAGGGCTGGGGATCTACCTCAGTGGCATAAGCACCTGCCTGGCAAGGACAAGGTCCTGAGTTTGATTCTCGGTACAAAAAAAAAAAAAAACAAACATATAGGCTTGGCCAGGTGTGCTGGTGTTGCACACCTGTAATCCCAGCAGTCAGGAGGCTGAGGCAGGAAGAGCACTGCAAGTTTGAGACCAGCCTGGGCTACAAAGTGAGCTCAAGGCCAGCCTGAAGTGCACAGTGAGACTCTGTCTCAAAAATATAAAAATAAAAAATAAATAAAGCGTATAGGCCTGCCAGGTGTGGTGGTGCATGTCTGTAATCTCAGCACTTGGGAAGCTAAGGCAGGAGGATCTTTGTGAGTTCAAGACCAGCTTGGAATACAAAGTGAGCTCAAGGCCAGCCTGAACTGCATAATGAGACCCTGTCTCAAAAAGACAGTAAATAAATAAAGCATATAGGCCAGGTATGGTGGTGCATGCCTGTAATTCCAGCACTTGGGAACCTGAGTCAGGAGGATTGCTGTGAGTTTGAGGCCAGCCTGGGCTACATAGGCAAGACCCTGCCTCAAAAAAAAAAAAAAAAGATACAATAAGGAACTGGACAGTGTGACAGAGCACTTGCCTGGCACGTGTGAGACCCTGGATTTGATCCCTAGCACAGCAGTCAAAACAACCAATACACTAAAGCTACAACAAATTTGATCCTAAAATTCTACTCAAGAGAAATGAAAAATATGTCTATATAAAGACTTATACACAATAATTTACAAGAATATCTCAATAGGCAAAACCAGAAAACAAATTCAACCAATGAATAAATGAAAAAACAAAATGTTGTGTATCCATACAACAGAATATTATTCAGCAACAAACAGCAATACACAGTAGAACTTGAAAGGATCTTGGAAACTTTATACTAAGTGAAAGGAAGCAGAAGAGACTACATACTTTCCAATTCCATTTGTGTAAAATGTGTAGTCAGGAAAATTCTAGATAGAAAGCAGATTAATGGTTACATGATACAGAAGGAGACCAAAGCTAAAAGTGGGTTACGATTAAGCACAAATAGGCTCAGAATGTGTGTGTGTGTGTGTGTGTGTGTGTGTGTGTGTGTGTGTGTAAACATTCTGAAACTGAAGTATGGTAATAGTGGTACAACTGTGTAAATTTACAAAAAAATCATTGAAGTAGACAATAGAATATTATGTTATGTACCTGAGTAAGCCTATCTTTTTTTTTTTTGTTTTTCTCCGGTACCGGGAACCGAACTCACGAACTTGCGCTTGCCAGGCAGGCGCTTTTGCCGCTGAGCTAAATCCCCAGCCCCCCGAGTGAGGCTATCTTAACAACCAGTTTTGACTGTTGCAGTGGTGCACACCTGTAATTCCAGTACGAGGAAGGCTGAGGCAGGAGAATCACAAGTTTAAACCTGCCTGGCTACAAGTGAGTTCAGGGAAAGAAAAAGGGAAGGGAAGAAAGGGGGAAAGAAAGAGGAGGAAGGGGAGGAGAAGAAAAAAAGTAGAAGGAAAGGAGAGGAGAGGGGAAGAGGGAAGAAAAGAAACAAAAAAAAAACAAAACAAAACAAAACAAAAAACAAAAGGCAGGCCAGTCTTTCCTTTATATCCTTTATCTCAAGGAAAAAAAATTACTAACTTTCCCCAAGCCCGTAGACCACAGGAAATCAAGGCACCAAAATCAAGAAGATGCATCATGATTGGGTATGCTTGTAATTCAAGAACTCTGGAAGCTGACAGCTGAGGATCTAGAGTTCTGTTTTGTTTTGTTTTTTTTTCTTTTTTTTTGGTACTGGGAATCGAACTCAGGACCTTGCACTTGCCAGACAGGCATTTATGCCACTGAGCTATATCCCTAGCCCTGAGGATCTAGAGTTCGAAGCCAGCCTGGACTACACAGTGAGACTCTGTCTCAAAAAAACCAAACAATCAAGAAGATAGACACTAACACAAGAAGCAGAGGGTGGGGTATACTTTGCTAACAATAAGACCAGTCCTTTGATGAAATTAACCTGTTCTCCTACCATTTTGGTACTGCTGTTTCAACTTCAACCAATTTTCATATGATAGCATACTGTAGTTTTAAAAGAGCACTGGGTTTTGGAGACCCAAGAAATCTGTTATTGGATCCTGTTCTATGACTTGTAAGTTATATAGTCTTTAGGAAATAGCTTTGCTAATTTCCTCATCTGGAAACTGAAAACACTGCTAAAGGCTTTTACGAGAATATAAGAGAACACAAGTGGAATGTTACGATCACTGCCTAGCACATACAGTAGCTCCCTCTTATCGTGGTTTCACATTCTGTGGTCAACTGCAGTCCAGAAGTAACACTGGAAGACTCCAGAAATAAACACTACACTTTAAATAGCAGCCTGTTCTGAGTAACATGATGAAATCTTACACTTACGTTCTGTCTAGAAAGTGAAGCATCTTTGTCCAGAATATCTATATACTACGAACCATGTAGTCACTTGGTTGTCTGCTAATTTGTCATCAAGGTGCATAAACATGGGTCTGTCAGACCCATGTTTATGCTTTAGAATATTTCTATTGATGAATTATTAATCTTATGAATTTTATTATATTAAACAATGAGTACTTAACAGGATAAAAAAAAATCACAAAAATGAAGTATTGAGTTTTTAATATTTATTTTTTTATAAAAAAGCATCAAAATTCTCAACATCAACTGGTTTTTGCTGTACAAAGCCTAAAAAAACACATCAGAAATAAATTCCTAGCCGGGCATGGTGGTGCATGTCTGCAATCCCAGCACTTGGGAGGCTGAGACAGGAAGACTGTTGCAAGTTTGAGACTACCTTGGGCTACAAAGTGAGCTCAGGGCCAGCCTGAACTGCATAATGAGACTCTGTCCAAAAAAAAAAAAAAAAAAGACCAAAAAGAAAAAAAGAAGAAAGAAAGAAAGAAATTCCTAGTTCTTTTTTTTGGTACCGGGAATCAAACTCAGGACCTTGTGCTTGCCAGGCAGTCCCTTGTGCCGCTAAGCTGTATCCCCAGCCCAGAAAGTCCTGTATGAGTGGCTGGGGGTGGTGATGCACACCTGTAATCCAAGCACTTGGGAGGCTGAGGCAGGAGAATCTCTGTGAGTTCAAGGCCAGCCTGAACTACAAAGTGAGTTTAAGGTCAGCTTGAAATGCACAGTGAAACCCTGTCTCAATAAGAAAAAAAAAAAAAAAATTCCTATATGACTACAGTGAAAATATCAATAGCACTCTACAAAAAAAATCTTTACTTCAGTTATCACAACTAAGGCAGTCTGCACACAGGACATCATATTCCATATATGCACATCACTGACACTAACAGCACATGTCTTTCTTTTGTTTTCCTGGCCTTTTTTGTGGACATATTTGACATCTCAGCGATCTTGCTGTTTTATCAGGAGGGTCTCAAGATACTATACAGTGTGTAGTTCACAGGAATGTAAAATATCAGTAAAATAAGATTATAAAATTCTTAACATATATTGTATGTTTAGAATAGACATCAACATTTTTACATCAGCTGTGTACTTTCTTTTTTTTTTTTTGGTCCTTTTGAGACAGGGTCTTGCTATGCAGTTCAGGCTCGCCTTGAGCTCACTTTGTAGCCAAGGCTGTTCTCAAACTCCCAACAATCCTCCTGCCTCAGCCTCCTGAGTGCTGGGATTACAGGGGTGTGCCACCACGCCCAGCCAGCTATGTACTTTCTTACAAAACCTAAAAGATAATATCAGAAATAAATTCCATTTGAACTACAATGAAAATAACAATAGAACTCCACCATAAAAATAAGCTTTGCTTTAACTGTCACACCCAAGGCAGTCTTCATACATGACAACTGTATGTTCCATGCACATGTCTCAAATTGACACCACCTGTGCTTAGCTTTCCTTTCCTAGATGGCAATCTTTTTTTTTTTTTTTTTGATACTGGAAAGTGAACTCAGGACCTTGCGCTTACCAGGCAGGTGCTGTGACACTGAGCTACATCCCTGGCCCCTATGTGGCAGTCTTGTCACTTCTCTTCCTGTTTTTTTCAGGAGCTTCCTACTATATTGTACAACATGCACTTAGCAGGAAAATAAGACTAAAATGAAGTATCAAATATGTAATGGGTGCTTAGAATAGACATCAACATTTTCACACGTGCTCACAGAACCTAAAAGATAACATCAGAAATAAAAACCTATGTGAACTACAATGTAAACACAAGCAAAGATCTACCACAGAAAAAAATCTTTGCTTCCACTGTCACACACAACGCGGTCTTCATACGTGACAACTGCATGCTCCATACGTAAGTACCACATTGATTGCACGTATGTTTTGTTTTCCTGTACTTTCTTGTAGAGCACAGTTGACATCTTTTTTATTTTCCTGTTGTCATAATATGTCCTTGTGATGCTGTGCCTGCCTGTTCACCC